TTTTAAACACATCGGAGTAATTCTAACCTATACAGTTTTACATACAAATACCTCTTTATAGACATTTAACTGATAAATTAGTACAATAAATATTGACATTTTATAAAACATAAGATCATAAATACGTGCCTTTTACAAGCCATGATCACTAACCTAATTGTATGAAGGACTGTTTCATAAGGGAAAACAATGTTTCAGTATTAATTATTTCATAACATAGGACCAACTAGGGATCGATACTTCACATGACAAAGAACGAAACGTAGCGTATGAGTACTATGATGGTGACGGTGTTACGACACAAAAATAAAACGCATTAGACTATTCATAAAGCCATTAATGTGCCAGTATAGGTAAATAAAATACATTATTTTCAATATGTCCGTTTTTTTGCATCTACTGTAGTTAAATTGAATTATCTCCCTGGGATTTACTACAATTGTAACGATTAGTTTAGTTATAAACATTGGTGTTTAATAATTTTTACTAATGAATCTTGGTTTTGTAAGGTGGGCTGGGTAAACGTGTGGTCTTCATATCACCCGTTTAATCATCAGACTGATTAAAGCTCTGTATCACTAGTTTGTCAAATTTACCTGTCAAATTTGACTCTGAATTCATGTCACTATTCACCGAATTCACTTTTTTCGCCCGATCCCTGATATAAGAAAAAAAAATCTGTATGATTAAAAAAACTGAACCTGTTGCAGTACACTTAAAATTAATCAAAATTATACCTGGACTGGCATAAGAAAAAAAAATGAAGCCAAGCGAGCGGAATTATACGAGGATAACAGATACAAACACTGGGAGGGGAAGGTAGGGGGGTAAAAAAGGCTAAATGAGGATTGCATTTCTTCTGCTACAGTACCTCGTCGAAAAGCTCCAGGCTGTAAGTGTTGTCATCATCCGCAAAGAAAACAACTCCCGAGTCCCGGGGGGAGCGGTGCAGTCTCAGCCAGGCAAGCCCCGCATTCCTCTGCTCGGTAGCCCGAGGCAAGCCCGCCCGCTTGTACCTCTTCGGGGTCGGGATGTGCAGGTGGGTATAAGGTACCCCTGAACGGGCTAGAAAGCGCAAAACCAGCTCTGTGCGTGCGCTTGAGTCCTCCACGACAATCCAGTGAAAACGAGGAACCTGGCGGAATGTGTTGGCTAAACGGGTCAGCTCCGCTTTCTGCACAGCTCTGCTGTAGGTGGGGGTGATGGCGTATATAGTCGTCAACTCAGACCCGTTTCTTTTGACACGAGGTGTCCTTTCCACCCGTTGGGCATTCCCTATCCTGGCAAAATAGAGTTGTGCGGGGCTCCTGACTGAGGTCCTCTTGGTATCTATATCTATCATTATGATCACAATCAAAACCCAAGGCAGAAGAATGAAGAAGCGACTATAGAACAGCGATTTCATGATGTATCGGAATTAAAACGACGAAGACGTTCACCAGGCATTAATTAAAATGATCAATGATTAAAACATCGTTTTCTTACTTCCAACGCTTTCTGATTCATAATTTTTGAACACCCTTGAACCTGTGAAACAGATGAATAAGATTTTGGGTCACCTCCCTTAAAAATCACCTGGAAAAATAAAGATTGTTTCTCCAGAGTATTAGGTTTCCCGCTTTGAACATTTTCTCGTTAGTCACACGACAAGTTAGTAAATAACTTGCATGGTTCATTCATGCCATTGACCACATCTTTGCGAAGTTTTTATATCCTGTGTAATTCAAAACGACGTTACTTTCATCTTCCATCTAAGACGTTTTCAGAGCTTTCCTCTTTGATAAAATGAGGAAAGCTACGCCTCACATTTTCATCGTGAAAAAACAGTAAAACGAACTCATAAACCTCAGGTAGAGCAAATCTCTTCCTCTCCACCCAGTCTGTTGTTTCATAAGCCATCTATTTTGAAAGTTGACAAGTAATAAATAAACAAGAGGGGGTGTTTTGATTAAATATCCTTGTTAGGTGTTGTCTTGCATTCAGCCGAGAGATCCGCTTTTTCTGTTGCCGTAGTCTGATCTCTGAGATGTTCTCCGGATCAGATGTCGGAGCTGACTGCAGAGTGGGAGAGGGCGACGGTGCTGAAGAGATTTGTTTTCCTGTGGCTTCAAAAACGTCTGTGTCCACTGAGATTTGTGAGAAGGGCTTCGCGTGTGCATTGTCGGTACATTCCGTAGAGAAAAGAAAGAAAAGAGGAGAGAGCGCAGGTCTGTGGAGGTAGTACAGTATGTGCACAAAGCATATACAGTACGGTCGAAAACATTTCCTGTAACACTGATTTTAATTGATCACAGCAACAACTACTATAGCACCGGTGTTTACCACTGGTTTTCTGAGATATACAATACTCCGAAAGATATTTTCATAAAGTTCAATGTAATGTTCAACATCAACGTTAATGTTAAATTTAACCGCACTGGTTCTTCATTAATTTAAAATATACGTTTATTTAATGAGTTTTTTTTTTTACAAAAATGTGAGCAGTAGTATCTCTGCAATGGTTCTTTGCTCTTTCAGTAGAATATTGGAGAATGAGGTCATTTTACTGTTAATTTAACAATACAAATACATTCAAAGATAACTCTGACGGTACAGTGAATGCTCATGATGCATTACATAATACAGATGGTAATCTTATCAGGGAGCCCCCAAAACAGAACAATTTCCTTATGCTGAATAAGAATAACAAAGGTTTTTTTATACGATTTTTTACGTTTGGGGTTCCTGTGGTGTTGTATCAACACATACAATATAAAACAAAGGAAAAGCATGAGGCTGCATTGTGACATATCCTACACTGATGGATTAGAATATTTTATCGGAACAAGTGATAGGCTTATCCCATGCTGGAAAGAGAAGATAGAAAACACAACGTTTTGGCTATGGAGCCTTCTTCGGGGGTACAACAAGCAGATAAATAGTTAATAGCCAAAGGAGTATTAGTGAAAAAAATCAATGTATACTAATGATAGCATCAAAATTAGATATTTTAGATCTCATGCCAGTGGGTTCAATTATTCTGTGACATTGGGTTAATGTATGGCAAATACACATCATTGTGCAGAGGTGAGAGTGAGAGAAAATGAAGCCACAGAGTGAAAGAAAAAGATGGTGGAATTGATGTTTGTAGAAACAAGTTTTCCTTCATCATGAAAAATCCTTTTTGAGACAAATCTCTCATAAAAAAGAGCAACTGAAATTATATCAACTTGTATGTAAATTGGTGTATTGAGGTATTACACAAAACTAATGAAAATGTAGAGTAGCTAGTCAGTTTAGACTGATGCAAAAAGAGGGGTGAATATAAAACTCACTTTTATATATACAGTGCCTGTTGAAAGTTGACACCCCCCTTTGGCCTTTTTTGTTGCCTTTTAGCTTGGAATTAAAATGAACTCAAATAGATTTTTACATTTATATACACATCCTATCCCATCGTTTCCAAATGAAAGAAATTCTAGAACCTTTAAGAAAATTAAAACTGAAAGCTTGGTTGGATAAGTGTCCTCACCCTTGTAATAGCAATCCTAAATTAGCTCAGGATTGTCATTGTTTACACATCTGCATTGTTTACATTTAAACTGTTTACTTGTACATTGTCTACTGTTTGTTTGTATATTGTCTTGATGCACTGTCTGTACTTTGTGTTTTTACACTTGTTTTAACAATTGAGAGACTTTCTGTAAGTAAGAATTCCATTGTACCAGTACATGTACCGGTTACATATGGCAATAAAGTTCAAGTTCAAGTTCAATAACTAAATTACTTATTACTTACGTATTATATAATGGCATTAGAAAGCATAACTCTGTCTTGTTTTAATTTTTTGTTGTATATCCTGTGACTGTTCAGTACAACCAATTACAGACAACCCAAATGGACATTAATTTGCTAACAACATTCTCATCAGCTGCTTGTTCATGTACATCTTGCCATCTGGGTATTCTGCTTACTTGCAGCCTGAATATGGAATGTTGTCTCACACACATCTATTGCTTTAATGAAAATGAATATTAAATAATTAAATATATGTTTTAATTATGAAATATGTAAAACATTGTATTCAGCTCATGTTTCATAATGTTTGCATAAAATTCCTAGATGCATAAAACGTATCTTTTTTAAAAGCAATTTCTATTTGGTACAATGAAGTTGAAACAATTAAACAGCCTCAAAAATAAATCACTGTCTTAAAGTTAATATAATTGAGTTTTCTGCTTAGGTGAAGAATTATATTATTCCACTTCATATGGTCTTAGGTTTTACTTACATCATGAAAGCTATTGAGAATTTACAGATGTTAACACAAACATAGATACAGGCCTGAGTGTAAAACATTGGCAGAATGATACAATTTATTGTTTAGATACAATAAAAGAAAATGAAAATCACAGAAAGTTACTTTTCATACATAAAACCAAACACATACTCCAGGTCAGTTTTATATGGTTTTAAGTAACTTTAATCTTACTTTTGCAAGATGGATATGTGAATGTGAGTATTAATGATCTTTAACTTCTCAGAACATTAGAAAGCTGAACCATGTAAAATGTTTATAATCTTTTGTGTATACTGTATAAAGTCAAACTTAGCAGTTATAGACATCTGTTTTGATCTTGTTAGGATTCTTCAGCAAAACACAGTACTTTTAATCACAAGGAGAAGACTTTGCAGCCCAGCAGAATCACTTCTCTAAATAATTGTTTATACATAATTGAGTTGTTTTCTTGATTTATAAAGTCAAGTAATTCTTCATGATTGAGTTATGAACAAACCCATTTAATATACAGTGCACATAAAATGCATTTTGAGTAGTTGCAAGAACATATACAAAACTGTTCATTTTTATTTATACTATATACATATATGTATTGATTTATACTATATACCTATACTGTATGTATTATACTGTATTTACTAATTCTGTACCATAAAATTTAGTTTTTACACTGTAACTGTTCATAGATACTGTATACATATGTAGACATGATGTGACATTTATTTTAGGAGACATATTTTTATGTTATTTATATCATGTTTAGCCTATTGAAACTGAGAATATTTCATTGTTTTAAATATTTTCACTGACACTGACAACACATCCAGCGGTTAATGCTTGATGTTCTTTGCACATACTGCTGAATATGCTTTTTGTTAAAATCCTTGCTGACATCCGTGTTCAGATTGTAAACTTCATTAGACAGCTTGTTTTAGTATTTTCATCTTGTTCAAGTCATTATCATTAATGTCTTTTTGCGTGATTGCTGTACAAAGTAATGGGGAGAATGTTTTCATTCTGCTTATTTAGAACCTGCAGAAACCTGCTACAAATCCCGGCACAGCATGGAATGATAAGAACTCAGTTAAACACTTATTGTCAGATTTGGAGAACTGTTACATCATGACAGAGACAATGACTTGGAACTGTCAGTGTCCAAACAGGGACAAGGTAGTACATCACATGCTACTACATTTACAGGGATGCTGTGCTCAACTCAGATGAGAAGGCTGCCATCTCCTGGAGATTCAGGTTAAATGTCAACCTTCTTTGGTTGTAAAATCTTATTCATATCAATGAAAGTAGTAATTTATTACATTTACCTTTAGTACAGTATTTACTAGTATATTTCCATTTAAATGTAAATTCTTAACTGAAGTTTGGGAGGGTTAATCACCGACAAATCAATCTCACACAGCTATTTTAAAGCACAATCATTACCAACTTTCATTATACACGTACATATAACTCATCACATCTTTTGCATTCATCCAGCCTCCACACTATCTCCACGTTTGCAGCTCCTGTTAGTTAACTCCTGATCCTGGTCAGGAAACCGTCTCTAAACCAAGCGGGCTGAGCCAAAACTTATAATATTTAAATATTCAAGCACTTGCAAAGCATTTTCTTGGATGTTGTTATTCTCTGTGAACTTTAACATTCTATTTTTGAAAATTATTTTTAGGTTACATTTTGAAGAAAAAGTATTTTTAAATTGGTTGCTCAGATTTAAAGATCACTAAAATATTAATATCCAGCAATTCTTTACAAATTATTTCGTAAATGCTACAGTCAGGCATGGTATTAACTCAGGGATTGCTAGCAACATTTTGGAGGGCTGTAGTCTTTTTAGCTCCTTAAAAATGTAATTTCCTAAAAAACCGGGGAAAGGTGTTACATTAAGTTGACAGAAACAATTAAGAGGTGAAATTAAACGAAAACCTGTATGTTCTGTGTCCCATACAAATATGATTTTTAGTCATATTAGAATAATACAATCACCACAAGAATGCATTTGGAATTCATTTATTAAATGTTAAACCAAGTCAATTGTTTGTAACACAAAGTTCAAGCCAAGCAATACTACAATGTACTGTACATACAAAACATTAAGCCCTGATTAAAAGCACATCGAAATGAAAACATTTTCAGTTTTCAAAGTTTTGTCCTATCTTTTACAGCAGTATACGTTTTTAATAAAAGGAAGCAGAACAGGAAATAACTCATATTCAGCAGTCTTTAGGTATATTTCTCCTATATGGAATCATAGATGACTTAATTAGTAGCTCATGATGATATAAAGGACCTTGATCATGAAGAGCCATTTTAATTTTATGATTCTCAGGTAAGCATTGTAATGATTTTACAACACAGTATTTACAATCTGAATGCCCAGTGATAGACAATAGCTTTGCAGGTGCTGAAGCTTCTGATTCAAACAGAGGGTAGACTACCAAACAAAAAACTGCATAAAGCAAAGAAGTTCAACGTCTATAGTACTCAAATCAAGCACATCTATGTTTCTTCTTGTAGAGTTTCTTCAAAGATGATGCAAGGGTGTCACAATGGATCCCATTTCAGATCAAGCCAATTAAAACCTTAATTCTCAAACCTCAATTGTATCTGAATTATTTCAACTACTTTAGAGTCACCTATAGTATGTTTTAATCTCAATGATTTAAGAGTGCGAGGGACTAGTGCTGCTTGGGTTAGGAATGACATATAAACCATATAAACCTGACCTAAATTTCAGTGCCATTAGCATACACATGAAAGTCAACATAACATTTACTTATATGAAAAAAACAAACACAAAGTAGAGAACCAATGATGAAATGATGAAAAAGAATAGAGAACTACTATACACATTACTAGTCTTTGAAGCAGAGCTTATATGGAATCACTGTTATACAAAATCAACAAGCCGTAGCACTTTTGATGCAGTCTGAATGTGAAT